AGGCTGTGGTGGCCAGGAGCGGCCACTGCACTCCAGTCTGGGCGACAGAGTGAGACTCCAACTCAAAAAAATAAATAAATAAATAAAATAAAGAGATCCATATGGAGCTGCTTGGCCCCAAGTCAGCACAGAATAGGGGCAAGGGCAGTAGCCCCCACTTCCTGCCTCTCTCTGACCTGAGGCAGCCCACAAAGTGTGACCTGGACCTCAAAGTTGCCCCGGGTCCGCAGGGCAGGAGGGACTTTCTAGAACTACCCAATGCTCTCTGAGGATCCCCTGAACCCATTGTTCTGGGGGGCTGCCCAGGCACTAAAGCCCCCTGAATGCATCCTAGTACAAACACTTCAAGCAGGAAGCAGTGATCAGAGACACCATGCAACTCTCTAAAGGGCACTGCTTTAGAAAAGGGGTGAAGGAAAATCACTTTACCCAAGGGAAGGGCCTGGGCAGGGGTGACTTCTCGGAGCTGGGCAGGATGGTGACAAGGGTACCTGAGGAGCAGGGCAGCAGGAGATCCATGACCACCGAGTCAGCCCCCTTGGTGTAGACGCTGATCTCATCGGTGAGTGGGTGCCGGATCACCACTGACATCCTCTTGCGGATGGAGTCGAAGCCTAGCGTGTGCAGGAGCTCGAAGGTGAGCCTGCCCAGGTGGGGCAGCTCCACAGACACCTGGTCGTGCAGCCGGTCCACGAGCGTGCAGTTGTAGGCCCGGGCTGCGTACACCAGTGCTGCCTCATCGGGGCTCTCTGCCTCGTACCACAGCTCTCGCTCAGGCTGCAGCTCCCGGGCACGCCCCGGGGCCCAGCCATCGGCCCGGCTGCTGAAGCCGTTGCTGGCGACGGTCGGGGTGGGCTGGCCCCGTCTCTCCTCCAGCCCAGGGAGCGTGCTGTCGCTGGGCAGGGTGGACAGGAAGTCAGGTCCCATCTTGTGGTTGGATTTGTTGCTGGTGGCCAGGCTCCCAATGTTGCTGCAGCCAGAGGCCAGGCGGCTGGAGGTGAACTTGCGCAGGAAGTCCTCTATGGTCTTCACGGGGGACTTCAGCTCAAATCTCACCCTCACCTGCAGGAGAAATGGCCATACGACAGGTGAGGGACCCCAGCATCCCCTGAGGTCCCAGCCTGATTCCCACTGTATGCTCCAGACGCTGGGTGAACAAGGGCCTCCACTTCCCCATGGGCAGCTCAGAGCACAGATGTTCCATTTTCAGGATCTGGGGCAAGCTTTGAAAACTGCAACCAGAGATACCATTTCTTCTGGGAGACCATCCTTTGGCCTTTTTCATTCCTCTTAAGCAAAGGTTCTGAATTTTCTTTCAGAATGTGACCACCAGGCCCACCACCACGGTCCTGGTGTGTGCAGTAGAGCTGCGGGTGGCACCTGCAGGCTCCGGGGCAGCTGCTCACTAGCATCCCCTGGTTTGGCATGGAAGGCTCAGAGCAGCAGGCTCGCCACTGCCTGGCACAATCATGTCCCCCCCATTAAAAGGCCACTTAACAAAAGACCAGTTTATGCATTACTCTGAATTATGATCATAAAATTTAAATATACAAATCACATTCCCAAACTCCAAAGAATATTTCTCAGCACATTACAAACAAATTCAAGATCCAAATCATTAAAAATATTTTAACAATCACTGTAAGAAACAAAATGAGGCCAGGCATGGTGGCTCAAGCCTGTATTCCCAGTATTTTGGGAGGCCAAGGTGAGAGGATTTCCTGAGTCTATGTGTTCGAGAATAGCTTGGGCAACTGGTGAGACCTCATCTCTACCATAAATGAATAAATAAATAAATGAATAAATGAATAAATAAATAAATAAATAAATAAATAAATAAAATTAGCCGGGCATAGTAGTGCGTGCCTGTGGTTCTGGCTACTTGGAAGGCTGAGGCGGAAGGCTCGCTGGAGCCCAGCAGGTCAGTGCTGGGGTGGCCATGAATGAGCCTGGGCGACAGAGTGAGACTCCAATTAAAAAAAAAAAAAAAGAAACAAAACGAATTGTGTATATATATAAATACAATTGTTAAAGTTTCAGAAAGCCCAATGATGGTGCAAGGGAGCTACACATTATAGAAAGAACAAATGTTGAAAGAACCCCAAAACTGTGCTATAGTTATTCTTAAAGCTTTGTCATTTTGCCTATGCATCCGGAGTTGTGAATTACAATAACAGCCTCCAGGAAAGTCAGGTGTTTGGTCAGGACCAGATTTTGACACAGGTGCTTTTTCTTTTGTCCCATGATGACTTTACATATGCCATACATCCACACCTGCTGGCTCCCAATGCCCTCAAGGCTGGCTCTCAGCAACATGTGGGAGCAGAAATGCATCCAGAGATAGGCTTATCTGTGGCTGGAGAGCTGCAACTCAGGGTTTTGCTCCCCACAAGAAACTCGTGCACATGTGACCTTCAGCACACACCTTGGTTACGTCAGGGTTTCTCTCTCTCTCTTATTCGGTAGTTTTGACATTGCCTATGTCTGTCAGGCAGGTCTAACCTAGAAAACAGACATCCCCGCAGGAATGCATGCCAGAAGGGCTTTAATATAGGGTGAGGAAAGGGCTCTCGGTGTACACAAGGGACCCTGAGATGCGGCTGTGGCTGGTGGCACAGGCCTGCAGGTCCTGCGTGGCCGGATCTGCTGGGCTTCAGCAGGCCGGTGTGGCAGGAGCGAAAGCACAAGGGGTGGCAGCTGTTGCCAGACATGATGCCAAAGCAGAGAGAATACAGACTGTCTTGTTCACCCCACATCACCTGCTGACGGCTCCATCAGAAGAGCCTGCTGGAAGGGCTGACCCAGGAGGTTGGGAGAGTGTCCTTGGAGAATACGTACAGAAGACAGGCTACAGCACACGACCAGCCCTTTGTTCTTATCCACTCAACACTGCCTGGCCCAACACACACATCATGCTTGCATGCACCCCCACAATGCTCGGCTCACCTATGGGACGTTCTGACGAGCACTTGGGTGACAGAGAAGCCCTTCATACAGACTACCTTTCCTCTCTTCTAGGAAAACCTTCACATCAGACCAAACCAAATCAACTGGGTACCACTACATTTCCAGCCCCCTAAGAAGCCCCCAGTGGGGTCTGCACCACTTGTGAAGGACAATGCTAGACGCCTTTATCAACACCAGGTACATCTGCCAGGTGCCAGCCTGAACTCAGAGCCCTTGCCATAGTCTCTACCACCCCACATCCCAGGGAGGCTTCCCAGGCACAGGGAGGGGAATGGCTTGTCTAAAAAGCAGCACAGCCACCGATCACATCAGAATTCAAGTGCCATCATCTCATCCTGGAGACCGGGCCTCAGCGGACTTGTCCTTCCCCTATGTGAATCTGGGATCCAAGGCTCTTGGCATGAGGCCGGATAGCCAGCATAGCTTAGATGTAAACAGACTGGAGTTTCCTACAGACAGATATAATTTAGGTAATTAGGAAACCAGATGGTCAGGCATCTGAGCACCATCTTATCAAGACATAACTCCCTTGAACAACACTGGCACTGACAATGCACACCAGACTCGACCTCAGAAGAAGGGGAAGCTGGCACAGTTCATCACAAAGACCATAAACACATGCAACAGGGAATTGCAGAGGACACTGAGGCATGGTGCTCTAAGAGAAAACTTAAGTACACTGTTCACTTTCCCACCATCTCAGAATGCTTTGTGATGCAAGTAAGCTTAGGAGTTAAACAATAAGAACTGAAACGTGATCCATAGCTTGCTACCCACATAGCCCAGCCCACAAATCTTAACTTAGAACACAGGTTGCTTAATCATAATTTAGGATGATATATAACAGCAAGCCTGTGTCCTGTCCCTCAAGGCATCTACATTCTCTCTTGAACAAGTCCCTTTTTTCTCCAATAAATTACACTTTAAAACTCTCTCTGCAACTTACGCTGAAATCCTTTCCTGCATCAATGTCAAGGACTCACAGAGCCACTACACCCAGGCAGGTCATCTTGGACAGCTACGCTACTAGCCCTGCCAAAGCCAGGCAGTGAAGAAAACACCAAGGCAGACAGGGCCTCCCCACACTAGCCTGTCCGCCCCAGGCTATCCACCCACGGGGTCTCAGGCTTGGAGGGCATTACGGATTTTCTCCCTCTCACTTAGCTCCCATCCTGGCCCTTGCCCACTTACGCCTGGGGGTGACACTGCAGTCACTGTGCAGTTTGGCCCAGTGATACGGTTTGATGTGTGTTCCCTCAAATCTCAGGAGGAAATGAGGTCCCCAGTGTTGAAGGCAGGGCTTTCTGGGGGTGGATCCCTCCTGCTGGTGGCAAATGGGTGAGCTCTTGCTTCTGGAGTTCACACAAGAGTTGGTGGTTTCAAGAGAGTGTGGCTTTTGCCCCTTGCATCACCATGAGACACACTGACTCGGGTTGCTTTGTGCTATGATTCGAAGCTTCCTGAGGTCTCAGCAGAAGCCCAGCAGAGGCTATGGCCATGAGGAACCATGAGTCAAATAAACCTTTGCTCTGTAGCAATGAGCCAGGCTTTGATATTCCTTTACATCAATGCAAAGCACACTTGCGCACCCTACGACTCCCCCTGCTGCCTCCCCCATAAGCTTGAGAGGAGCTGCAGTACAGGACATGCTCACCCTCTGGAGGACCATAGCGGGGTTGCAGCAGAGAAGGTCAAGAGCATCCTGGGCCATCGAGGACACTCCAGAACTTGCCTTTTGTCGCGGCTGATCCGGGGATGTGACCACTACTGTGTTGCAGATGGTGAGTGCAATGAAGAAGTCGAAGATGTCAGACAGCTCCGGAGAGAGGTGGGCCAGTGGGCACTCCTGGTGCCTCGCCACAGCCAGGTACCTGTCACACTCGATCACCTTCTCCAGCAGCTTGGGGTCAGGCATGATGTCCTTCTCCTGGGAAGCAAACAGCAGTGCTGAGTGTGGCCAGTGACCTGCCTGGCATCCTGGTGCCTGCCCATCTAAGATGTCTTGATTTTATTACAAGATGTAAACAAAACTTCATTTCACATACACAGACATGTCATTTTATAGTTGTAAGTTATTCATAATTTTAATTGTATAAACTTATGACATATAAAGGTGCATGTTATTATATATGATACACGTGGTTCTTATAAAATCACATATCTAAGAATATATTTATTTTATTCATTTTTTTATTTTTATTTTTTATTTTTGAGTTGGAGTCTCACTCTGTCACCCAGACTGGAGTGCAGTGGCTGCTCCCAGCCACCACAGCCTCGACCTACTGGGCTCCAGCGATCCTTCCGCCTCAGCTTTCCAAGTAGCCGGAATTACAGGCATGCGCTACCACGCCCGGCTGATTTTTTGATTTATTGTAGAGATGAGGTCTTGCTGCCCAGGTGGGTCTCGAACCCGCGGGCTCAGGCTAAGAATATATTATTACAAAAAAGCATGTATTACTCCAGAGAAATTCAACACATGGGCATCACACCACCCCACAAAATAATATCTATTTTTTGAAAAATATACTTCTGCATTTCCTTCGAACCTTTTTTCTCTACATTTACATTTTATATAATAAAAATATTTTGTGCATATATTGGGGGTTTCTGTTTTAACATTATCATCACCTGAACTTTTCCAGGCTTCTAAGAAAAAAAAAAACACAATTTGACAATTTCCAAATGGACAGACTGTAACTTATTTGACCACCCCTTTCTCACTGGATATTTAAGCTCCTTTCACTGTCTTGCTGACGTAAACAAAACACTGATAAAGACTATATACAGCAATCTCTGACTGAGTTGCCAGGGGAGAAGGTCTAAATCCTCAGATACTCCTGACATACTGAAAGATCTGTCAGAAAAACTTGTTCCAATGCAGTCCCCCTCCTGCCAAGTGTGGGAGTCCCCACGCCAGGGGCCCAGCAATTGGGAGTCCCTAATTCTAGATCACCCCACTGAAGTGACAGCTTCTCTATGAGTTTAGAAGAAAGTAAAAGAAAAAGGCTCCCGCAGAGTGAGCAAGACAGATTCCTCCCCTTTGTTCTTAAAGCAGTTCAGATAAGAAAGGCTCTTTTGGAGGTGGTCACGCACTCTTGGAACACTCCCTGCCTGATGATGTTTGGGCCCCTGACAAGGGAGGGCAGACATTTTATTGGACCTAGTCTGGTCTACTGAAAACCTTCTTTGCTGTGGGGGCTGGTTTTGGCTTTTCACAGCTGCCTTCCTGTTCTGATGTTTTATCTGTTCTGTCTGGTGGGATGGGCTTCCTCCCTGTCACCTTTCTGGGTGGCTCACTTGGCAGCTGCCCAGCTTTGGAAGCTGTGGCAAAGGGGCTGTGTCAGGATCTCAGAAAAGATGGAAGGGGAGAAGGGAGGGTGCCGCTCAGAAAAGCTTCTGCAAACTGAACAGAGCCAGCCTCCCTGTGAGAGCGTACTTGCACGATCCAGGACAGACGCTTCTAAAGAGCAGGGAGAAACAGCAATGGGGCAAAAAGGCGGCCATGTCCCCGCAGGAGGGACCGGTGGCCATCCTCAGGCATGCGTGCTCACCATGGGGCTGCTGAAGGCTGTGTGCTTGGATAGCATGCTGGCCCTCTTGGCCTCAGCCCGGCTGCCCGTGCGCCGGTGGGACTTGGTGCTCTGAGTTCTGTGGATTACCCGGACACTCTGGTGGCTCCCGATACTGCCGCGCTGGGACACTGAGCCCCCTTTGGGCACCACCTCCTCCTCCTCTGAGTCTACCTCCTGGTACTTGGCCAGACGCTGGGCTGTGGGGAGAAGGCCGCAGAGTTAGACACCATGGAGGCAGGTTGGGCAGGCTGAACCCATTTGGGGTATTTTAGGTTACGTGAGGCTCTGGCAGGGCCTCCCAGGACACTCCCTACCCTCACTCCCCAACGGCACCGCCTTACATGTAGTTAGCTCTTCCTCTGGCTGAGGGGTAGAGAGCATTTTTGGTGATCTGTACCCTTAGTCTGCCTGAGGAAGCTGATATCCAGCTCCATTTCAAAGATAGGAAGACATAGTCTCATCTCAGAGAACCTAAGGAGCTGGCTAGGGTCACATACCACAAGGGTAGGGGGATGGGTTTACGTACCGTACCTGCCCAAATAAAGCCTAGTGTGTGACGAGGTCAGGGTGGCAGGCGGCCGGAAGGGAGTCTGGGCCCACACAGTGGGGCTTAAGGACTTGCCCATCACCCCAGGTGTCATGAGGCCTTCCAGTTCAACAGAAGCATATGATCCATCAGGCTGGAGTGACAGTTGTCTGGGGCCAGCTCCAGGTGCTGGGTGCTGTGTGTATGCCGTGGGCACTTTCTGCACGTGCCCCACGATGAATGAGGCCCATGGGACAGATTCACACTCCTCGTAGATCACACAGCCAGGGTATGGACTCAGGGAGAGAATCTTCAAGGATGAGGATCTGGGCCATGATGCTGCAACTGAGTCCTTAGGGGACACCACCCAGCAAAGTCCTCACAGCCACTTGGAGAACTCCCTTCAGAGGTGCCTGTGCCGCCGTCTCTTGCTAACCCATGGCTCTGAATCAATTCTTCTGGCGTTGCCCAGTTAGAATGGCTTGTTTCAGCACGGATGAGCAACATGGAGACTATACGTGAGGGTCACGCATTTTAAACCTGCTTAGTTAGACCTTCAGGTGTGGGCACCGTGTCGGGTGGGAGTGTGAGGTGCCCTGACACCAGGGTCTACTGAGAGGCACTGGGGAAAAGGGAGACGTGGCACGGGCCACCCTGTCGGCCAGGCCTTCATCTTGAGTCTCTAAACAGAGCTTCAGGAACCCACCTGTCCACCAACATGAAGCTACAAGGCCAAGGACTTGCTAACACCAGGATTCCAACCTAGGGAGAGCCTAATTCCAGGAGCTAAGCTCCCCCAAACATCTTACCAGCTTTTGGGTGACATAAGGCCCAGTTTTCTGGATAGCAAGGAAGCACCAAGCCTGGACATGTGACTGTGTCCGACATGAATGTTAGGAGATTGGCTGCAGCCTCCAGGAGGGCAGGCTTGCCCATCCTACCCTCCACCAGCAGTGGTCACTGGATGTCAGAGTTCACTGCAGCTCACTCTCGAGGACTCTCCCTTCACTGGAGGTGTGGGGTCCCCATCGCTCGAATGTGGGTGGTATGAAGCAGTTTCTAACCAGCAATGGCCTCGGGGATACTCCAATGTCCTCAAGAAGACAGGCCCAGGAGCTGGTGACATCCATCCCTGGGCTTGCACAGTCGGCCAGCTCCAGGTCATCAGGTCAAGAGGTCTGGCATACGAGCTGGGCTCAGTGCTCAAAACCTCTCTGAACTCACATGTTAGTATGTTCTGGAGAGGTCGGATCATGGGATTAACTGACTGAAGATGTCTTCTATGCTGGGTGTCTGTCAATCTGGTCAATACTTCTACGTAATGTGCTGCTAAAATACATGGTTTCCTTCTTCACCAGAAAGTATCTCCTTGTCTTCTGGGACAATGGAGCCCTCTGGTTTTATGGTAAGAATTTGACAACCATCAAAATCTTCCTGTAATCTCAGGGGATTCTGCCCCAGGGAACCTCAGTTCCCAATTTTATAATTATATTTAAACTAGTCACTAATATTATTTTTGATGGACATATTACAAGTGTACGCATTTATGGGGTACAATGTGACATTTTGATATATCTATAAAAATGCTGCATGATTAAATCAAGCTAAATTAACATATCAATTGCCCTGCTCACCTGCCATTTATTTCCGACGAGACGTATGAAAGTCACTCTGCTGTTTTGGAAAATACAATACATTGTTGTTGGCTATAGTCACCCTGCTGTGCCACAGATCTCAAAATCTGCTCCTCCTGTCTACCAGAACTGGGTCCCAGCTTTGAAAGACTGCTGCAGCACTGAATGCCTGGTCTCAGATTCCTTTACAACAAACAAGTTCTGCTTTCAAGAATGGCACACAAATGAACTACTCTGCACCAAGCTTAGCAGTCAGGGAAGGGGAAGAGGAGGAGGGAAGGATGGAGAAGAGAGGAAGGAGGACGGATGAGTAGACAGAATGCCATCACTGACAGTCAATTCTGGATGGCAAATAACACATTAAAGTGGCGAAGTCCCTATGACTTCTGTTTCATATGGCCATCTTAATTCTATATGGCATAGGCAGTGGGTGTCATGCTAGCATTTGGTATTTTAAAAACTCAGAGAGGTTTCCAACAGCTCCTTCCCACCAAATCCTTCTGAAGAACAACTTCCTGTTAATGCCCTTTTGCTGTCCCCTGGCCCCCTTTGTATGTTGGCTTCTGTGGTGTTTGTTGCTGCTGTCACAGGAAGGCAAAGGAGTCCTGGCTGCAATGTAGGTGCCCCGTTGGGCAGCACTGTGGCCCACAGACACTGCTGCAGGGTGGGGACCCTCATCAGAAGAGCCTCCCCTGGCTGAGATGACCATCACACCCTTGGTGTCTGAAGTTGGGGCAGGGGGTGCCCTGAGCTCTGGGATGAAAGAAGCAGCAAAGTATAAGGAAAGGAGAAGTGGAGGAGGGAACACCTTGATCTTGGGATGTGAGGTAATATCTTTCTAGCCCCGAGGACGCTGAGTTTCCAGGGAAGGAATGCAGCATGATTACCCAATGCCCTTCTGAGAATTTTCAGTTGATGACAAGACAGATGGGTGACAACAGGAGTATCTCTTTGTCCCTTGGTGTGACAGAAGGAAGCAACTAGATGCCTGGGAAGTGATCTCCCTGGGGACACCTGGCCAGGTTGCAGCACTCACAGGTGGACCTGCGCAGACGTTCATCACTCCAGACTCTGCAGTGACAGGGTGGTATCAGCAGGCAAGCGTCTGTTCTATAAATAGCATGGGGCTTCAGGCTCCAGAGCTGCTCTGACAGCCACATGTCTATGCTCCCTAGAAAATCAGCAATCCCTAAGGCTTGTGGTATGTGTGTGTGTGTGTGTGTGTGTGTGTGTGTGTGTGTGTGTGTGTGTGTGTGTGTCCACATGCAGCTCTGGATACAGCAGCTTTCTGGTCCAGCCCAGATGGGGAGCCTCCCACCCCAAAGACTTACCATTTGCGTCATGAGAATATTCTACACCAGACACAGTGCATCTCCGGAAGACCATCTTATTCTCAGTTAACGTGCCAGTTTTATCTGAGAAGATGTACTGTATCTGCCCTAAGTCTTCTGTGATGTTCAGAGCTCGGCACTGCAGCTGTGAGTCTGTTTCTTCATCGTACAACTCTATATCTTGGTTAATGAAGTACACTTGGCACACTTTAACAATTTCAATAGAAACATATAAGGAAATTGGGATCAAAACCTGGAAGACACAAGGCACACAGAATGAGCAGCTGTGAGAACAAAAAGTGGGGGAATTAGTTTAATCTATTCAAATGACAATGACTACACCACAAGGAGGTAGGGACTATACTGTACCTTCAAGAGCTTACAGAGGTTGGCTTAGAGTCACTATTGGAAAAGTATTAGAGTATTGGCAAAGAGTGTGACCTAGGACAGCCTATGGTACAACTGCAGGCAGGAATCCACTAGCATGTCTGAAGGTATAGCAACCATGGCTTGGATAGAAGCAAGTGTTTTCGTGTTACTAAGATGTGCTTGAGAGAGGCTAGGAAAGGAAAGAGAGACAAGAGAAAAAAAAACATGGCACAGTCAGAGTCCTCAATAGCAAGGTCACCTCACACCACACACCAAGGCAGCAGCAACCACAGGCCTTCCCTGGACTTCCAACTCCCACTGACACAACCCCACATTTAAGGGAGCAGCCACATACACAAGAGACAAGTTCTGATGCTGGCTTTGTGTTGAAGGAAAACTTCTGTGACCTTGTGCAATGCAGAGTCAAGGGAGGAAGGTTTTGAGGGAAAATTCACAGTTATACCTTCATATTTTAAGAACAATCTCATTGAAATTAATGTTTATTTACTTATTTATTTTTGTGGAGCAACAGTACGAGCTAATGTTTGCAGGCTCAGAATATCATACTCCGACTAACTGGGTTCTCCTGGGGACTGAACTAGGTTCATGGAACACCAACTACAGTCCTAACTGAAGGCTAGGACAAAATTGGCATTTATAAAGATGATTAACTCTTAAAGGTAAACAAGGCCATCTCCTGTGGTATGAAGCACATCGATAGGAGACAGCACAGCCTCCTCTCCAGGCAAAGGCTAAGCAGATATCCTTTGGTCACTCTATGTAGCTAAGAAGACAGAAGGTGACCTCACTGTCCCCCTCCCCCTCTCTCACAAACCCTTCTGGGCACAGCATCTCCATGAGGGGTGGGGAGGTGTCAGGGAGGCACATAGATTAATAATCACAGTCAGAATAACTATAACTACTGATGAATGCAGTGCGATATCCCAAGCCAAATCCTGGAACAGGAAAAAAATACACATAGTGGAAAGACTAGTGGGATCGAATGGACTTGTGAAACTCAGTTCAAAGCAAAGTACCAAAGCTGATTTCTCAATTTTTACGGTGTACCATGATAAGGTGGTACATTCTCATGGGGCAAACAGCGGGAGTGGGACAGATAGGAACTCTTTGTATTAATCTTTGCTGTTTTTCTGTAAATCTTAAGATTATTCCAAAATAAAACCTATCTTTTAAAAAAAGTAATTGAAAGGAAAAGCAAAAAAAAAGAAGACCAACATCAAACCTCCAAAGCATAAGGAATCTCAAGAACAGCAAAGAGAATTTTAACTTGAGAACCACCCTATAGATAAATCAGGTGGAAAAACAAAAAGCAAAACTCCAGGCAGATGCATATGTGATCCTCCCAGATGCAGAAGGTTTAGGGGATTCTTAGCAGTATATGTTGACTTTAAGCTCCCTTCAGCCAAGCAAAGCAAAGCAATTATTTTACGACGCTTAGTATTGTTACCTGCAGAACTATGATCATTGTCAAAAATGAGTAAACCGCAGCTGTGACTGGGGACAAAGAGCTTCCGTCAGACTCAGGGACATCAAATAATGATTTCTTCTCTTGATACTGTTGTGCCCACAATCCATGTCCTGTGGTAACGTTCAAAGAGAGGTGACATTCGTCCCATAGAAAAATCATGTTGCTAGCTCACATGAGTGCCGACTTTAAGATTATTTCCTGACATAGCACATTTGGTTATATTAGCCTGCCCTGCCATGTCACAAAGCCAAAGCACCCATGATCAGGCTGTTGGATGGAGCTGGGACTTGGAGTTGCCCTCTCACCCAGAGTGTTCCCTTGCTGATGCTAATGGCACCACTGGTTGTAAGACTGGAATTATAAGTATGCTGCCCACTGATAGCATGAAGCCCCCAGGAAGGCATTTTCTATGTGTGTTTCACAAAACACCAGTCTCATGAGACACTTAGTGAAAAAATAGAGAGATTCAAAATTCACTTACTGGAGACTCTGGTAAGCCAGCAGTAATACAAACATTTAGTCAACCAGGGCCCAAATCTATCTTACAACAGATGGCCTTTTCAGGTCCTGTGCACCTGTGTCTTTGCCTGCTGAGCTCCAAGTAGCATCACACCCACCTGGTGTGAGCCTGCATGAACCCTAAATGCCCGCCCCTTCTGTGGGTCCAAACCATTTTCTTCTCTTTTCATGAAGTTCCCATTAGTAACATGGGTGCTTCTCCTGCTATTAGCCTTGGCTTATCACAAGCTTATTGACACTTCCTCCACTGGAATCATCACCACTCCTGTGATGAAACCATCCTTCCATCAAGAGGTGGTCAATTCACTAAGAAATAGCACTAAGGTCTGCCCTCTGTATCCATGGGCTCTACATCCATAGATTCAAGGAGCCGAGGATTGAAAATATTTGAAAAAGAAAACCAAAACACTGGATCTGAACTGAACACGGACACTTTTTTCGTCATGATTCCATCAACAAAGCAGTATAACAACTATTTATATAGTATTTATACTGTATTAGGTATTATAAGTAATCTAGCGATAACTTAAGTATGTGGGATGATGTGCCTGGGTTATAAGCAAATACTATGCCACTTTATATCAGGGACTTGCGTATCCTTGCATTTTGATGCCCTAGAACCAGCCTCTGCAGACACCAAGGGTCAACTGCACGCTGCCACCCTGCCAGGCTAATTCACCAGGCACCGCAAGGTGACCTGTGCTGGAGTTCAAGTAAGTGATGAGTGAGTATATCTGAACTTTAGAGCACTGGGTCTGAGCATACCCAGAGGCTGTCCAGCAAGGCTCACTCACTTGTGATCCATCTAGGAGACTTACCGACCGCTGAAAACAGAGACATACAAACGAGGAGAAGGACACACCAGAGCACATCGCAGTTCATCTGCCTCTCAAGCTGGCTGCGTTTGTAGCGGGGCCCGCTGTTGTTCAGCAGAGCTTTGGTTTCATGTCCTGCAGGGGAGGACAAAGGGACACAATTGCGTCAGTGCACAAGAGTCAAGGGACCAACAGACTGACTCCACAGGGTGAACTCCACTGACTCCACGCTATACTGCCATCCATTGGTATTTCTGCAACAAGCTCGGTCAGAAGGACAGGGTATAAAATTAATCTTACAAACCAGAAGCCAGGAAGGGTGTGGAGGGGAGATAAAGGGAGAAAAAATAAGGAAAGAAAGAATATACATGTATTAATTACCAAGGAACTGTACACCGAAAAATGGTAAAGATGAAACATTTTATGTGTATATTTAACCTCAATTTAAAGATTAAATTAAAAATAAAAAACTAAGTGAAATTAATCTTACATATGTAACAACCATGAACAAATGAATAGAAAGAAAAATGCGAAAATGCCAAGACAGAGCACTTTCAGTCAAGGCATCATTCTAAGAATTTTTGTTTTCGCTCCTTTCTCTTTCCCTGCTCTTCTGAATGTCCTACAGTGGGAGATGTGACCCTCATCATCAGAAGAAGGGAGAGATGCTGGGAACACAGAGCCCCAAGGGCTGCACAGGTGCTGCCTACCTGCGTAGATGACGATGCCAACCACGGCCTCCGTGTTCCTGACGGTGCAGCCCCGCAGCAGCAGGTTCTCCTTGGACAGGCCCGCCTTCTTCCCGTTGTCATGGATGCTGCCAGGAGACAGCGGGCACGTGTCACGTGGCTGCACATATGCACTGTGTCTCCAGCAGCACTGCCTGGGGAATGGAAGGCCCTGACACCATGGGAGCCCAGGTGCTGGCTGGGAAGCATTTGGAGCCCTGAGAGTGAGTGTTGGGTCCCACAAGAGCAAGGAGGGGCTGCCGCTCATTAGCAACTGGGCATCCCGAAGACCTCAAGAACCTAACGCCTGCCTGTACTCTGCATGTGGGCCTGTTCTCACTCCAGGGGCTGACCACAGCCAGAAAGGGCTGACCCCTAACCACCGGACAGAGCTAGGAAGCCAGCCAAGGACAGCCCCCAAGTATCTCCTATACCACTCCTGCTCATCACAGAAAACTTGAGTCCTAGTCAGCACGGCAACTGGTCACAGAAATATACATATCTCTTGACAGAGCAGATCATACTGATTTCAGCAACATATTTTTGTGTCTTTTAAAATAAAACATCATAAAATTATGAGAAATATTAATATATTAAATCTGAACTGTGGTAACTTCCATGACACAATTTAATAAGTTTTTGCACTGCTATTTAGAGATAAGCTGCTGCTTTTCAAACTCATCCTCCTGGCCCATTAATGGCCCATACAAGTCAGGGCAGGTCCTGCCAGGTCCAGACTGGGACCGACATGTCCCAGAACCCTGATACACAGGTCACAAGGAGTGTTCTTGGAGACTTCATGAACTATTGCAGGGCCTGGCCTTCCTGCCTCAGGCAGTGCCACAAAGGGGGGCCTTCCTAGAGGTCACCTTCTCATTCCCTTAGTGGGCAGCCCTCCCCACCTTTCCCCACATACCCACAGTCCAGATGCCACCTCTGTGGCTCTCAGCAGCTCACAAGGAACCCTCAAAGGGCTTTTCTTCCTGCCCACAGTGCCTCCTGACCAGGAAAATAATATATGTCTGGGGAAGAAGAGAAGCTAAAAGACAAAGTCAAGGCTGAAACACACACTGGGAGGAGTGTAAGTCTGTTATTTGCAAACATAGCAACGGTTCTTCCACAGAGCAAATACAAATGCTGTTCAAACAACACTACGTCACTGGCCCCCTGGAAATTCTAATACAGACCAAAGTTTTACTTTGAAGAGAGATTTAAATCAGGAAAACCTCAAGGTCAGCTAATGCATTGAGACTGTTGGTGTGTATAAGACGTCCTTACATACAAAGCCCTGCTCCATGCATTCAGAGGACACCCATTGCTACGTGTCTCACGTAGACATCTCTCCAAGGACAGAGGGACCACGTCACAACTGCTCTGGGACAGTAGCAAACACACTGTCTCAAAGTTCCAGTTATGCTTATTAAGAATAAGAGGCAGCCGGGCTCCGTGGCTCAGCCTGTAATCCCGCGCCTTTGGGACGCTGAGGTGAGTGGATTGCCTGAGCCCGTGGGTTCGAGACCCGCCTGGGCAGCAAGACCTCATCTCTACAATAAATCAAAAAGTCAGTCAGGTGTGGTAGCACATGCCTGTAATTCCGGTTACTTGGAAGGCTGAGGTGGAAGGATCACCGGAGCCCAGCAGGTCGAGGCTGCGGTGGCCAGAAGCAGCCACTGCACTCCAGTCTGGGCGACAGAGTGAGACTCCAACTCAAAAAAAAAAAAAAGAATAAGAGGCAAACTCAATAGGAACAAGAAAACTCTTTTACATTAAATGCTCTTTGATATAACATACACTTTGGAGCAACTACTGTGCTTTCATGTCAGCTCGAACCGGCTAGAAGCTCAATACCAGCAGGCACATCAGCCTGTACAAGGCCATGGCCAGAGGGAGAGCAGCAGATGCAGGGGACGGCACGCACTCCTGAGTGAGCAGCTCCCAGGTGAGAATGGAGTGGGGGGAGGCTGGAGAACAGTGTTACCCAGTGCAGGCCTGGCTAATGGCTGGAGGGCTGCTTTTGGCTCATGAGAGGGAGAGATCTGGCTAACAGTGGCACAGGCTCTGGGCCACGTGGCTGTGAGGCTCGACTCCATGGGGAAACACGATGTGAGCCTGGTTAGCTGCATCAGCACCTGCTCCTTTATCGTGGGCTGAACTGTGTCCCCTCCACCCTGAATTCATATGTTGAACCCCAGGACCTCAGAATATGATGACCATTTGATGACAGGGTCTTCACAGAGATGATTACAAGTTAGAATGAGGCTATTAGGGCCAACCCTAATCCAATAGGACTGGTGTCCTTGTAAGAGGAGGAGATGAAGGTACAGAGACACACAGGAATGCCCTCATGAGGACACAGGGAGGAGGCAGCGTCTGCAGCCAAGGAAAGAGGCATCAGAAGGAACTGGCCTGCCCACATCTCTATCTCAGACTTCCAGCCTCCACAGCTGTGAGACAAGTTTGCCTGGTTCAAGCCACGCCATCTGTGGCCCTCTGCTAAGGCAGCTCGATCAACTTTACACATCCTTTACCACATAATCTAAGCCGCTGGAGGGGCCCCTCCAGTCCAAGTCCCCAGGTCTCCTGACTCATCAGACCAGGTTCTCCTAAACCAAGACTGTCCAGAGCAAGACTGGTGAGAAAACTGTTTGGTGACAGCATCTACGTCCATTGAAAAGGGCCTCAAGAGGGAGCTCGGGAAATAGCAGAATCCAGCTGACAAACGTCCTGCCCAGTGCTTCCTTCTCAGAAGAGGTGCCATTTTCCTGACCGCACTTGCTGCTAGTGACGGGTCTCACTTGTGTGAAGAAAGGTGAGTACCAGCAACGCCAGAAGTGCTGACGGGGCCTGCAATAGGGGTGGAGGCCCAGTCATCCAGACACAGGTGTGCAAGGCTATGGCACTTGGGGCACTTCCTGCACAAGCCAGGCACGTGGAGTCTTCGAGCTCCTGCCTCTCCCGGCATGTCCACTCCAGCGCCGAGAGCCCTGGGACCTCCCTCTACTACACCCCAAGTGGTGGCCCAGTCACTTGGATGAGCCCTCGGGATGCCCTTGACGCCTCCTCCCTCATTTTTACATCCACTCAGACATCAGGCCTGGACGTTAATTTCCTCCCTGGCTATTTCTGTAATCCACGGCTGCCTCCCCCTACCATCAAGTAGCATGGCCCTCATTCAGGCTTCCACATTTCTCTGCTGGACACTGCAACACACTGGACTGGCCTCGAAACCATCAGCCTGGGTCCCTCGGGTCCGTTTCTCACACCATCAACAGAGCAATCCTTCGGTGTGCATGTGTGAATGTTGCTCTCCTAGAAGCATCTGGCGTGGGCTCCTCCTTGCTTCTACCGGCCCAGGCTGCTCTTCGCCCCTTCGGCGGCCATGCCGGGGCAGGCTTTCCTCGCCAGTCACCCCCACAGACAGCATACCCTGTCTGCCCATTGCTGGCCTCTGCCTGGGGAGCCCAGCCTCCCAGCTCACTCTCAGGTTTTACTGCCTTCTCTGCACTAAGCTCCCAAGGCCCTCCAGTCAGGAGACTGCTGTATTCTTTTTTGCTTCTTTGTATCTACTTCCAAATATGGGCTCCTCATGTCTTCTTCCATGTTGCAGCCCTGATGGCTACTCAGGGCCTGACAAATGCTGAAGGTTACCTAGCCCTTAGCTTTGAGTTGGGTCCATCCAATGGGGGACATCAGTAAGGACACAGGAGCGGATGGGAGAAAGAGAGGACAAGGGATATACTCCCTGTTGCCTCCAAAGGGGGAACACTGGCTGGCTCTTCCCCCTGGCCAGTGCTGTTAAGTCCCTCTCAGAGGGGCCACTCCATTCTGTTGGCTGTCATGCCAGGGACAGCTCAGTTGCTACTAACCCAGTATCTGCACCATCCCCTGTGGATCCCTAAACCTCACCTACTTACTCATGCAGAATCGTACCCTTAGAAAAAAGCCTCCCTCTGCTTATTCAAATTTGAATGCTCAATCTGTTTCCGATAGGGACCCTGATTAACACAGGTAGGGAGAAAAGAAAAAAGGAAAAGAGAAAGCACTGATAATTCCTTTCCCTGGCAAATCCTGGGCACAATACTTTTTAAAATAATAAATTGCTCAAGTTTTTGTTAATCTAATATAAGTAAGTGTGAAAATTACTAAACCATATATTCTGTGCTGACGTGCAATCTTTTTGAGACATAAATATGTCAATTAAAGGTGCCACAATAAAATGACAATATTCTAATCTTAAAGCGTCTAATTGATGTAGTGACAATTTATCTGAACTCCTGGGCATTGGCAGGATATTTTGGACACACCCCACACAATGCTCCATCCGGACACCGATGGGGAGGTGGGGACCATGGCAGCTCTGGAGTTAGTGATGGACCTGCTGTCATCACTAATGATGGTCTCCTGAGGGTGTCACCCACCAGGGTGGAGAGGCTGCCCTGACACACAGGCCCTGGGCTCCCTTGGCAACCCGTGCTCCCTTGGCAAGCCCTGTGTGGGTGTGTGAGACTCTGCAGCACACACCAGGGAAAGCTTGGAATCCTGCTCTGTGGGGGCTGTAGGGTAAGAGCGGAAACCATAGAGGAGCAGGGGTAGCTGTGCTTCTGTCAGACAAAGCTAAGTCAAAAGCCATTGCAAGAGATATGGAAGGTCATTATATAATGAGAAAGGGTCAATTCAACAGGAAGATACAACAATTATAAATACATATGCACCCAATATCAAAGCATCTAAATATATAAAGCAAACATTGACAGATCTGAAGAGAGAAATAGGGAACCAGCTTTACAGTGTGAAATGAGATTTCACACCAGACAACCAACCGACCAATTTGCTTTATCTTTGTGCCTTCAAAGATAACCACAGGCCATAACGTTGTCTGAGCACAGCAGAGCGGGGACAACCTCAGCCAGGTCTCCATGCACAAGGGCCTCTCTGGGCTAAAGGCCTCAGGGCTGGGACCAAGGGAAGAGTGCTGGGAACAGCTGAGGATGCCATTATTTCCAGTTGCCACTTAGAGGATCTCATGAGTGCTTAACAGTGGGGGACAGTTTCAAAGAACACATCGTTAAAGTGCACTTGAATAATGAGGCACCTAACACTGTTTTTCTGTCAGTTTATGTGTTTCACACACCTTAATAGTCACTCATTTAAAGTTCATGTAGTTCAGTGTTCTTTTGTATGGTCAGAGTTGTATAGCTGTCACTGCTAGCTAACTTGGAAACATTTTCTTTTCTTTTCTTTTTTGAGTTGGAGTCTCACTCTGTCGCCCAGACTGGAGTGCAGTGGCCGCTCCCGGCCACCACAGCCTCGACCTGCTGGTCTCCGGCCATCCTTCCGCCTCAGCCTTCTGAGTAACCGGAACTACAGGCACGCGCTACCACGCCCAGCTGATTTTTTTATTTATTGTAGAGATGAGGTCTCGCCAAGTTGCCCAGGTGGGTCTCAAACCCACGGGCTCAGGCAATCCACTCACCTCAGCCTCCCAAAGTGCGGGATTATAGGCTGAGCCACTGAGCCCGGCCGGAAACATTTTCATCACCCTAAAAAGAAGCCCTACACCCTCTCGTAGTCATTCCCCATTCCCACCTCACTCTCTGCCCCCAAGCCCCAGCAACACTGATCCACCTTCCATCTTTACAGACACCCCCATTGTGGCCAGGTCCCATGTGATGTGCTCTAACTCACAACACAGGTATAGGTCTCCTTTCACTGGACTCTCATGTCAGCCTGTGAGTGTGGCGGGGCAACCAACATTGCCTCCACAATCGGGAGAAGGCTGAGGCCCACAGCAGTGGGGCGCTATCCTAAGATCACTCATGCCAGCAAGAGGGAGCGCCTGAATTCAGATGTGCGTCTTCCGGTGACAAGCCCAAGTTCAGTTCTGTTCTCCATGTGCAAATGGCTACAGTTCGGATCAGAGGCTCTAAAAGCAAAACCTGCTGGCAGTCCGGGGCTCTGGCATGAATGAGGTTCCTCCACAGCAGCTGGCTCTTCAAGGCTGAAGGGAAGCTGCCCTGAGAAGGCAGTGGAAATAGCAAACCAGCAGACCAGGAGGCTGTCCCTGCAGCTGAGCTACTTCGTGAGCCTGGACGACAGATCTGCCTTCCAGGTTGGCTCCCACCCTGGGCCTCAGGATCAGCTTGGAGTTGAGGCCCTTTTTCTCTCTGCCTGGAACAGGCAGGACTCAGAAACCCAGAGTGCACCTGCCTGAGGAAGCACTCCTAAGAGAGCACTCTCACCCAAGGTGAGGGAGCACCCCTCAGAGTGAGGCTGCCCTAGCCTCCCTCAACCTGGTTGTTTGGAGCAAGGTTGCTCACTCTAGTTGTGCCCAGAGTCACGGGAGGCGCCTTCAATCCACTGTTGTTCACAACCCACCCCTAGAGACCCTGCCTGAGTTGGTCTGGCTGGGAAAGGGACTGTCCACACCCTGACAATCCTGGGCAAATCCAAAACACCCCCCAGGGGTCACTTAAACGGGGGTCAGGAATGCAGAAGCCCGAACTGGCTGCGCCCTGAGAAGCCTTAATGGTGCCTGAGTCATGGGTCTCTGTGCTGTTCCTGGTCCCAGGCTCTGGGGGGACAGTTGGGGCAGGACGCTTGGGTGGGGAAAGCAAGCACGACTGGGGAGGAGTGCAGGAAAGGGTTTCACGCAGGGGAGGGCTGCCCTTCCTGTGTTTCCATACAGGCCAGTTGGAGCAGGCGTGAGCCCTGGGACAGAATGGGGCCGCAGACGCCACACACACTGAGTGCCAGCTGCTGCTGTGTGGAGATGGCCGCACAGCCCTGTGCCCCAGGCCTCCACAGCCTGGCCGTTATTCCTGCCTCTCCTGGCATGCGTCCCTCCTCTTGTTGAGGCTCCCTCTCTGGCCCACTTGTTGGAGCTTCCCTTCTAGTAACAGAGGCTGAGCAACTCAAGGCCCCTCCCTGCTCCTCCCTGCACCACCCCTCTTGCCCCCTCCAGCTGTCATGGCCCTGCCTCCACTGCCAAGTCCACCCATGAACAACACGTCCAGCACACCGAGGACTCTGCTCCGGCCTGGCGGAGGGCTTTATCTTCATGCTCATCCTCCCTTTCCTGACCCGCTGTCCCACACGGCCTGGCCCCTTCCCTGACTTCACACACGACCTCACCTTAGTGTCTCCAGCCTCCCCTCCCCTGAATTCCCATACCACGTTTTTTTTTTTTTTTTTGCAGCCAGCTAAGTGGTTTCCCCAGATGCTTCTGCCAGTTCCACAAACTCAGGAAAGTCCAAACCCCATCTTGCTACCTCCTGAAGTTCCTCCTGACACATATGTTGAAGGCAGACCCCTCTCCTGGCCCCTTCTAAACTGGATCCCCTGCCCAGAGCCCTGGACCTCCTGTCCCTGCCTCTCTCCAAGTCCTCTAACCCAGCTCTGTGTTATCTGTGACAATAACAGCAGCCACTGTTATAATGGCCAATATTGGTTAAGCATCTATCATTTGGAAAGCTCTCTGTGTATTAATTAACTTATTAACGTCCAATATTGACAGCAGGGGGTTTTAAGATTATCCTGATTATATAGATGATAAAGTCAAGTCATTTGCCCAAGGTTATTGAGCCAGAAAATGGCAGTTCCAGGGCCGGCCTCAGTACTAGAAGGACTTGTGTAATACCTCGCCTAAAAAGGCAGTTCCCTGAAAGTTGGGAAGCTCTACAGCAGGAAGGAGTGTGTGAACTGTTGCCTGAGCAAAAGACATTGCCTCTTCAGAAGAGCCATGGGGGCCCAGGGGAAGGAGGGCCATGAGCTAGGAGGACAGTCTTTGGGAACGATGTCTGAACCTGCCCTAACATTAGCCCACGAGCAAGAAGACCCACAGAACATTCTCCATGGAGGCTACCTTTGCCCCTTCACAACCGTTGTCAGGTCAAGGTGTCACTGGGAACCCAGCTGCAGCTTTAGGTAGCACTGTGGGCCAGGGGATGCCCCATCGTGCTAAGAATGGCACTGGGTGTGTAAACTCCTGGGGACAGCAGGTCAGGGAGGCCAGGAAAAGATGGCCCAGGAGGTGAAAGGGCCAGCAAACCAACAGCAGACCAGTTATGCCCAAGGAGGTAAGTATGTCCTTCCCAAATCTCATAGGTTATATGCTACCATTTCTTCTTAGAGTTTTACCCCCCTTTTACTGGTTCTGAGACTCAGGGAAGAGGAAGGGCAATTTCAGTGGGTGATTGGGCATAGCTGGCTGCACACAGATTTCACCTTTTGCTGTGAACAGCCTATTGGTTAACCCCCATCATTTCCGCACACCGACTCTTTGCAGAGCACAGGCAGTAAACCAGAAGAACCACACTTTCACTGAAAGTTCTCCTAAGTAGAGCCCATCCTCAGAGGCAGTCTCCTGCTCCACATGGCTGTGGGAGTCTACTCTGCACCAGGGACCCTCAGCAGGAGCAAGTGCCAACTATCTGTCCATGCCTCAGAATGGGCAGGGCAGTGAGATGGCCCTGAGTCCTCCAGACAAGAAGGCTAGGTAGTGCATGGGGGCAGGTCAGGTCTGACATCTGTGACCCTTGCCACAGGCCTTGTCCTCCAGGAAGGAGGCCATCCCCGATAGCAACCATGTCCTGACACTGCCTGTTTCTCTCCCAGGCTTCCCCCACAGACACACACATACACACACACTCTCTCAAGAGACACAAAATTTCCTAGACTCGTCAAGGTAGAGAGCAGAGCGTGATTACCATTCACAAACTCTCACACAGCCCAGCTCCAACAAGGTCGAGACATGGCAGGCCAGCACCATCAGTCCACCTCACTTATCTTCCTCTTGTGGATCTAGAAAGGGGCTGGACTATTAGACATATTAATAGTACTAATGTCGTGCTGATTTCTTTTTATATTGTCTTTCATTTTCACAAAAAAAGGGAACATGAGCAAACAGCTAAGAAGGCTGCCAAGGATGCAAAGATGAACAGGTGCTTAGAGACAGACCAACACCTCCCATTTCCATAAAATTTAGAGAAGCAAGCTCCATCTGAAAAACAGAAGCTTATGCTGACTAGAATGAAAAACACATGAAGGCAGGGATCCTTGTACTGGGGCCCAGCACATAGTAGGTGCTCAATAAATACTTGTTCAATGACAGCATGAAAGACTGAATAAATGAAATTCTGCCTAGGCTCCTCCTGCCTGATTGTTGCTTCCCATGTCTCATGGAGCCATGAGTGGTGGCCACGTGCCCCTTGTTGCCCCTTCCCCTTCCCAGGGCCTGCTGGAGGGAAGAGAAGCAGGCCCTCCTCATCACAGCTTCTACTGCTGACAAGATCTCCTCGGCTAGTTCCGTGAGCAGCCAGGTGGCCTTAGGTGCTGGGCACCATGTCCTGGAGGCTAGCACGTGACAAAGAACAGTACATTTGCGTTTCATTACTAAGTGTATGTACAGAGCTTCTCAAGCAGCAGGAAGGCCATGGTACTCACATGCAGCCCCGGAACCTAGTCAGGTCATTGTTGGGCTTCTCACACTCGATGACGCTGGTGAACGTCAGAGGGTTGAACTTGGAGACCTGCAATAAGAGCACGCACACATTAGCAAATTGGGCTCAGGCTGCTCCATTCTAAAGGTGTTTGCCATTTCATCTCGCATCCATGGCAGGAAAATCTCACGGGAGAGGAGCTGCCTATGGGCCTCTGCAGAAGGCCATGACACCCTGCTTTCTCATTTTTATAATAAATAACAATTAATCATTGATAACGGATCACAGCTAGTAGACTAGTACTGGTTACTGGTTAGTGAGTGAGTGGAAGTGACTGTAGCTCTGACACAAAGCAAGGGAACATGAGCGGACAGCTAAGGAGGCTGCCAAGGACACAAAGATGAACAGGTTTTTAGAGACAGACCAGCACCTCCCATTTCCATAAGATTTAGAGAAAAAAGTTCCATCTGAAAAACAGGAGCTTATGCTAAAATGCCATTTCCGCAACGTGCATGACAAATTGTTCATGGGTCTTTTCTCTTTAATGTTACAGATTCTGTTCCATTTTCATGGAAGGTTGATGAAGGATTTCACTAGCCAATGCATGTCAACAATTTCTTTAATATTGTGGGAGCCAAGAAGTTCCTTATTGCTCTGCTCCATTAAAAGAAAATTAACAGCTCACCATAAAAAAGTCTAATTTAGAATTTTGCCACTAGTAGACACAGTAGTGCACAGCTCAATCGAAGAACTCAGGAGTGGGGGCAGGAGGAAAAAGGAGGGACACAGAGGGAACAGGCCTTCAGTATAAGTAACTGAGGACAATGAACAGGCTTCTTTTTTCTCAGCTCTCTGGTCAGGCTATCTTTCTGTTTTCTCTATCTATTTACAACATGGTAAAAAAAATTGAACTGTCTTTGCTCATACAAGCATAGTATCATAAAAAGGTGCAGGTGGTTAAGAATTACAAGCCCTGCTGACCTCACCCAAGGACCTTTTGACCCTCCACAACCACATCATTTCCCTGCACAGAACACAGCCACCAAGGGAGTGTTCCCAGTGGAGTGAGTCCACTAGGAGGAAGACAGCCTGCATCTCACCGCAGCTCGGTTCAGTAAGTGAAACCAAAATGTCATTTTAAAAGGCTCCTTGTGAGCCGGGCTTGGTGGCTCAGTCTAATCCCACGCCTTTGGGAGGCCGAGGTGAGTGGATTGACTGAGCCCGCGGGTTCGAGACCCGCCTGGGCAACTTGGCGAGACCTCATCTCTACAATAAATCAAAAAATTATTAGCCGGGCATGGTAGCACGCACCTGTAGTTCCAGCTACTTGGAAGGCTGAGGCGGAAGGATCTCTGGAGCCCAGCGGGTCAAGGCTGCGGTGGCCGGGAGCAGCCACTGCATCCAGTCTGGGTGACAGAGTGAGACGCCAACTCAAAAAAAAAAAAAAGCTTCCTTGTGAAGTTTAATTAGCCATCGGTCCCTCCTCTCCTTGGACTGAAATGGCCTCTTGCTCTATTTCCAGAGTGAGGCTCTATTTCAAGGAGTCCAGTATTTATTTAAAACCTTGTGAATTCTCCTGAAGCCAGTGGGTGGCATTTTCCAGAGCAGGCATTTGCAGATACAAAGTACAGGATGGCCATGGAGGGAGGGAGCTCCAGAAAACACCAGGATTATTCTTGGCAGAAGAAGAGGGTAGAACTTAAAATATTCAGTCTCTGTTTATTATTCTTTCTCTCTAAGAAAAATGTCATGTACATGGCTCAGAAACAGTGGGACATTCTGTCTCTGGGACTGCAGAGCTGCATGTGTAATACTCTATCAATAGTCATGGGCCTCAGGGATTGCTCGGGGAATGTCCCAGGCATGGGATGCCTGGCTCTATCTGCTTCATCTGGAACTGCAGAAGATCTTGAGGATTTTTAGAACTAGAGGGATCTTTAGAGATGGTTAGAGGTCGAATTGCACCCCGCCCTGACACTCCCAGGACTCTGATTCTGAAGTCCTAACCCCCAGCAGCTCAGAATGTGCCCTTATTTGGAGAAGGGGCCTTTAAAGGGGCAATTAAGGAAAAAATGAGGTCATTAGGGTGGGCCCTCATCCACCATACCTACCTACCATACCTACCATAAAAGCTACCATCTGTGGTAGGACTGCCACCCTCAAAGCAGAGTTTAGGTCACAGACACACCCAGAGGGAAGGCCACGTGAGGACACAGAGAGAAGACGGCAACTAAGAGCCCAGGAGAGAGGCCTCAGGAGACCCTGCCAACACCTTGGTCTTGGACTTCCAGACTCCAGCACTGGGAAACAAGAAATCCATGTTGTTTTAGCCCCCAACCGGTGGTGCTTTGCTAAGGCAGCCAGAGCTGATTGATGGAGACTATTTTTGAGTTTCTTATTTCAAAAGGATTTCACATCCAGAGCACACCTTTTAGATGAAGATAATTCTATCCACACTATTTCTAACAGTAGGCAACAGTAATACTTCTTGTTTAAGAGATATGTTGACCTGTCTCTCCATCCACTCATCTGCACCTATCTCATCCCAAGCCAGCTTTGAGCTCATGTCCGGTCACCTGGCTGCCAGTCTTTTGTCAACCTGTCCCCAAAGACAATAGCAGGGCAAGAGGTCCCCCACACACCCTTCTGTTCTGGGCACACTCACTTCATTTTTTTAAAAAAACAGATGTCTGGGAAGAGGAAGAAGTTCTGGAGGTGTATGATGCCGAAGGTTGCACAACTGTGGAAATAAGGACAATGCCACAGAACCCTTGAGAACGTACAGATGGTAGATTTTATGGTAGGTAGGTTTCGCCACAACAAAAATGTCTAAAAAGCAGATATCAACAAACACTGAGAAGAAACCAATTAATCGTCAAGCAGAACATAACCCAGAAATTTTGGACCCTTCAGCATTAAGTGTAAAAAGGAACTCGTGTAAGTAGTTGTTTTAATTTGTTTGTTTTGAGTCAGAGTCTCGGTCTGTCACCCAGGCTGGAGGACAGTGGTAGGATCATGGTTCACCATAGCTTCTACCTCCCAGGCTCAGGCAATCTTTCCACCTTAGCCTCCTGAGTGGCTGGGACTCCAGGGATACGCCCCCACGCCCAGCTAATTCTTTAGTTTTTCTGTAAAGACGAGGTCTCACTATGTCGCCTGGCTGGTCTCGAACTCCTAGGTGCAAGTAATCCTCGCACCTTGGACTCCCAAAGTGCTAGGATTACAGGCATGAGCCACCGTATCTGGCACCATGTAATAGTTTTTGAGGGTACCCCTGTTGTGCTAATCGCTGTCACTTTCAGCACCATTACAATCTTGAGAGTGTGCAATTAGGTTGGTTTTTGCACTACGTTCAATTCAGGATCACGAAGTGCCATGTCCAAAGTCACAGTGACCATGGGGCAACTGGCAGCTCCTGGGCCTCTGATGTTCACTGAGTTGACCTATTCATAACAAGAATAGATTGTGCCATGTCCTAACAACCAGAAAGTATATGATAGATTCCACAGAAATTTCCAAAAAAGAAACTTGAATTGAACTTCAAAGTTTCAAGTTTTCAAAATTTAAGTGTCATTGTTTTCAGAAACATACTTCAGTTCAACATACCCTGATCTGACGGCAGATAGCCTCTTCTCATCTTCAGCAGTACCCTGGACGTGGGCTTAGCAGAGCTCACCCCAAAATGGAGTAAAAATCAGAAGCCCAGGGATTTAGCCCTTGTTCTTCCTATTAATCAGTATGAGACTTCTGGCCACTGAAGAGAGGGCATCTGGGCTCAGATCACTGAGGTCTCTGTAGCCCCATGAATCCACAGCTCTGTGGGCTACAGAGGTGGCTCCTTTGTACCTTGTTCGGGAGAAAGGGCTCACTACTGCAGAAACAGTGCTCCCTGCAAGTGTTGCTCCCAGGCAGACCTTGTGCCCGTGCCCTCTACAGCTGGCCCCATGCCCTAGCACCTGGGACTAAAGGTAGCTGAGGACAAGAAGGGCACACTCATGCAGAGTACACGTGCTCAAGTAAGCACCTTCCTGGCAATAAAACGCTCGTACCTTCTCTTGATAACCTCCAAATATTTCTGAAGCTTCTTTGGACAGTGTCTTGACCTCAGTAGATGGAAAGAAAGAAGCAGGGTGGCGATGCAATGGAGCCCGGAAACCTGCTCTTGAACTTGCGCTTCTGCTAGAAACTGCAGCCCTGTGGGTAGTACCCCTCCCTCTGATGTCCACAGCCTGCTTCTGCTTCCTCCTTGTGCCTGGCACCTTTTTCAGGCAGGAAGCACAGGTATGTCCCCCTCTCTAACCACAAGAGAGAGGTGCATGGTTAGTTCAGCAGTGCTCAGACTCTTCCTTGAATGAATGCTGGATTCATAAGGAAGACTGCTACATCAATCTTGTATTCCACATTTGCACTAAATGAATTACTACTAAGTATCCAATAAAAGCAAAAGCTGATTTTCTTCATCTTAAAACAGAAGGAGTAATGTTGGAAAGCACATTTATAGTTCACTCAAAGGGATACTGTTATCTTTTCTATCAGAAAAAGTGACTCCGAGCAGTGTACATTGCTTCAGTTCATGGGGTGAGCATGTGGCACAGGTGCCTGCTTGGGGCCTCTACAGGTGTGCTGCCAGAGGGCCCTGTCTGACTCTCCAGTGGCAGTCAGGGTAGGCCGGCTTTCTTGGTCTTGGGATGACACAGACAGGGAGGATCCTGGTGAGGGGGTCACAGGGCACAGCAGCAGCACCACAGGGAGACACGGGAAATACGCGCTCCTCTGCATCTGGACCTTGTACTGAAAATGCCCTTTGTATCACGTGTCATGATACTCTTAGATCACAAGGAAGTTGAGGGCCCCCTGTCCACCTGCAGCCTTGATGTCACTTCTGGACATGGTCTCAGAGGCCCTAAGTGGACAAGTACAAAACCTCTAACTGCCCGCCTGGCTTTGGTCTCATTGCTTGCCAAGGACCTGTCTCTCACACCAAGTGGTGGTCACAGTGACACAAGAGGCCAGTCTGATCCCCAAAGTACCCACCTTCATAAAACCTTGGTGATGACTGCTGCTCAGGATGAAATCCACAGCCTGCCAGG